TGTGCGTACACACCTAAAACCGACAGAAACTTTCCAATACACGTATTTCTCTTCATGTCACCCCCCAGGGGTTAAGAAAGGATTCATAAAAAGCGAGGCCTTAAAGGAGCTGTGTCACGAAATTCAGCCAAATTAGGAAATAAGAAAATGCCCGTTAAATCAAGAGAAACATAAAAATAACCGCTTAAAACTTTAAAGGAAGGTTAAAATAACATAACAGAAACAACAGATGCCACGGATGGGCAAAACTGAAGAAGATTGAAACGGATTGAAATTAGGGTTTTTGAAAACTGTTCAGCCTAACAGTTTTTCAAAGTTGATCCCTGCTGCTTGCAACTTCAAAAATAAAGCTCAGGAGACATATTTGTTCGTCTCGGATCTCTGATTTTGTCATTTACATGTAATTTCTTTGCTTACTTTAAGTTCCATAGCGATTGAGGGCGAGTAATTGGCAAAATTAAACAAAATGAACTGGACTGCCGTGACACAGCGCCTTTAAGATTACTCAGAACAAACTCTTCTGAGAAAAGGTTCGAAGAGAACATAACTAATTTCAAGCGAAGACTCCGTATGAGAGGTTATAGAGATAAAGTGATAGATAAACACCTATCAGAAGTCGAGCATGACGAAAGAATGTCGGCTTTGCAAAACAAAACAAATACGCACAAGAAAATACTACCATTCGTGACAGAATATCGCCCCTCAGTACCGAACCTACAAAAAATCATCATGCACAAATGGTATCTTATAGAAAACCAACCGTTGCTTAGAGAAATCTTTAAAGACCCTCCCATAATAGCTTACAAAAGAGGAAAGTCACTACAAGATATACTCGTAAGAGCTAATCTATGAAGGTAAGGTCAAACCAACAGAAACGGAGCCAAAGAGAGACGTGAATAGCCTGTCAACATTATGAACAACACAAACTATGAAGCTTCAAGGTCAAAGATATACAACTATTTGGCCAAAAGGGGTCGTGTATGGCCTGTCAAAATTATGAAACATATTTCCTCGTGTTGTGCAATTTTCAACGATTGTCTCGATAAAAAAACGAATGCAATAAAACTTCGGCCTCACTTGTGTGGTATTGACTAAAAGTGTCCAAACGTTATGCCTGTTATAGGACCCTGCCGCGTTGTTAAGTCATTTTACAAGGGCGCCTTAAGACTCAGCGTTTTATGCAAAATATCTGATCGTAAAAATATTGCCCAGAAATTTCGCTTACATTTTTTGGAAAATCATGATAAAAGTATAAAAGCCAGAAGAAACTATAAAAGGCTTCAGGTGCCATAGCATTGAGACACAGAGCCTTCGTCATGGTCCAAGCGCTGTTTTCAAAAAAGGAAACTTGTGTTCCATTTCCGTCAAAGAGAAAAAATTTACCAAATAAAGCTGATTGCTGCAAATTACCATAAACGAAAAACGAACTGTAATACAAACCATTCAACCTCGACCATACTCGCCAAACACGCGTCCAATCGGGAAAAAAAAATTGCGACTTGTCATACAAAAAAAAACTAAACCTTAGACAACAGGGTAACAGAGTAACAAGGAAACAAAATAACAAGGTAACAGAGTAACAAGGTAACAAGGGAACAAAGTAACACAGTAACAAGGCAACAGAGTAACAAGGGAACAAGGTAAAAGAGTAACAAGGTAACAGGGTAACAGGGTAACAGAGTAACAAGATGACAAGGTAAAAGGATAACACAGTAACAAGGTAACACAGTAACAGAGTAAAAAGGTAACAGGGTAACAGAGTAACAAGGTAACAGGGTAACAAGGTAACAGAGTAACAAGGTAACAAGGTAACAGAGTAACAAGGTAACAGGTTAACAGAGTAACAAGGTAACAGGTTAACAGAGTAACAAGGTAACAGGGTAACAAGATAACAGAGTAACAAGGAAACAGGGTAACAAGGTAATAAGGAAACAGAGCAACAAGGAAACAAGGAAACAGATCAACAAGGTAACAGAGAACAGAACTACAAGGCATCAAGGAACGAAGTAGAAAGAGTGAAGGTATAAGTTAAGTAGGTAAAATCGGTACAATATATGTCCCCATACATGACGTACCTACCGAGAAAACAGTACGATGAAACGAGGAATGCGACGACTCGAAGACATGGAATCGACGCCACGAAGACAACAGACAATGACTCGAAGAACAATTTTCGAAGCATACAGGCATGCACTTACCTTCACTTGCATGCACTTACATCACTTGTATGCACTTACCTTCACTTGTATGCACTTACCTTCACTTGTATGCACTTACCTTCACTTGCATGCACTTACCTTCACTTGCATACACTTACCTTCACTTGTATGCACTTACCTTCACTTGTATGCACTTACCTTCACTTGCATGCACGTACCTTCACTTGCATACACTTACCTTCACTTGTATGCACTTACCTTCACTTGCATGCACTTACCTTCACTTGCATACACTTACCTTCACTTGTATGCACTTACCTTCACTTGTATACACTTACCTTCACTTGTATGCACTTACCTTCACTTGCATGCACTTACCTTCACTTGTATGCACTTACCTTCTCTTGTATGCAGTTACTTTCACTTGCATGCACTTACCTTCACTTGCATACACTTACCTTCACTTGTATGCACTTACCTTCACTTTCATCCATGCACTTACCTTCACTTGCATACACTTACCTTCCCTTGTATTCACTTACCTTCACTTGTATGCACTTACCTTTCACTTGCATACACTTACATTCACTTGTATGCACTTACTTCATTTGTACGCACTTACCTTCAATTATACGCACTACCTTCACCTGTATGCACTTGCCGTCACTTGGACGCTCCTAGAGGGTAGCAAAGGGTTTATGGGTGACGCGTGTTTAGGCCCAAATTTAGTGCGTGAGTCGCGTGAAGCGTGAAAGGTCCCAAAATAGGAACGTGATCCGTGAAACCAGTTATGCATGGGAAGTGTGATTTATCGTATAAGATGCGCAGTACTCGGTGAATAATTCAATATAGGACAGACAGAAAAGCCTCGTACGTCACAGTCGGCGTAGGCTGCACAGAAGGCATCGCGCCCTCTAGGGGAGAAAAAGAGTAAAACTAACCAAAAAACTGACCTGCGCTTGCGACGCAGGGTTCAGCCGCTAGCGGGTTAAAAGAAGTCGCATCGAGGGCGTTAATGTGTTTTCAGTTTGAACGTCTGGAAACACGTGTTTTCCACATCCGCGACTGCTAGTGAACACCCACATTCCAATGAGAGGAGAAACGGGAGAAGCTGCGACCGTCAAATACAATGCAAATTGAGATCCATGATGGCTGTGTTTCGGTTCTTATTGCTACTCTCCACCTACCTGTTGTATATAAGCCCCCCGTTTATAAGCCCTCCTGAACCCTTTAAACTCTAAGATCAAAATTGAGATTCTCGTTTACTGTCCCTATACTTTTTCAATACAAGTAGTGGGGAGAATTTGTTGAAATATCAGATAGACTCATCTTCCCTGATGATGTACTCAATTCTCATGACAACTCTGTTTTCTAAAGAATTTTTCTGAAAAATTTCATGCTGCTCACTCTTAGGGCTTAAACGGTTTAAGCCCTTACAAAGTTGTATAAGCCCTGGCATTTGAAGGGCTCCTGGCCCAGTCCTCACAATCAGAAGTTTACGGTACCCGTCTCCTCCCATAAATAAAGAAAAATTAAGCCTAAGTGGAGAAAGATTCAATACAAATAGCTAGAACTGCGCTAACACAGAGATTCAGAATTAAGTTTACGGCAAACGGCAAACTTGGAATTCAAGTTAAGAAGAACGTCTTTGTAATTTTGCTTTGTCGCGAACCTGGTGAATTCCCCTCGCACAACGGCATACCATAAACTTCCGATTATTAGCCCCATAATAAGAACGAAAAAAGCTGAAAACAAGGTTAAAAGTTTCATGCCTGCGTTTCCACTGCTCAAGGCCATATACCGCCGGACATGTTTGTGTATACTAAAAGATTCTTTCACTTTGTTCTCATAGTATTTCGGTAAATGACTGTTGCATAAAGTACCATTTTGCTCCTTTTCTCTTATTTTATTACCCGAGATGACGTAGTCAGCAAGCGTCATAAATTCGGTAGCGCATTCCTTTCGTATTTTTCTAAGGAGAGAAAAATTTTCTTGTTTTTTTAACTTTCCTATATCCCGTACCCATCCTGGAAAATTGTGTGGTTTTCATTGGCTAAAACTTCCAATCAAAAGCAAGCCAGGTTCGATTTCACAAGCAGAAAAAAGCTACTGCGTCAGACAAGAAGCAAAAAGTAAGCTTACTCCGTAGAGGAGGAGTAGTTCACTGTGCCCCCTGTGTCCCTTGTGTCCCCTTGTGTCCACCTTAGTCCCTTTGTGTCCTCTGTGTCCCTTTGTGTCCCACGTATCCCTTGTGTTCCCTATGTCCCTTTGTGTTCCGCGTGTATTCTTGTGACCCTGTGTATGTTTGTGTCCCCTGTATCCCTTTGTGTTCTCTGTGTCCCCTTGTGTCCCTTTTGTACCTTTGTGTCCCATGTGTCCGTTGTGTCCCCTTGTGTCCCTTGTGTCCCTTTGAGTTTCCTGTGTCCCCTGTGTCCCATGTATCCCGAGTGTCCCTTTGTGTCCTCTGTGTCCACTGTGTCTCTTATGTCCCCTTGTCTCCCTTGTGACTCCTTTGTCCCATGTGTCCTCTTGTGTGCCTTGTGTCCCCTGTCTTCCTTGTGTCTAATGTGTCCCTTGTGTTCCCTCTGTCCCATGACTCTCCAGTATCCCTTGTGTCCCCTATATCCCTTTGTGTCCCTTGTCTCCTGTGTCCCTCGTGTCACCTGCGTCCCATGTGTCCCCTTGTGTCCCTTGTGTCTCCTGTGTCCCATGGAGACCCTGTGTCCCTTGTGTCCCCTGTGTCTCCTGTGTTCCATGGAGACCCTGTGTCCTTTCTGTCCCCTGTATCCCTTGTGTTCCCTATGTACCTTTGTGTTTCTTTGTTCCAATTGTGTCACCTGCGTCTAATGTGTCCCTTCTGTCCCCTGTGTCCCTTGTGTCCCATGGAGCCCCTGTGTCCCTTGTGTCCCTTGTGTGCCATGAGTCTCCTGTGTCCCTTGTGTCCCCTTGCGTCCCTTGTATCCCTTGTGTCTCCTGTGTCCCCTTGTGTCCCTTTTGTCCCATTGTGTCCCTTGTGTCCCCAAGTGACCCCGTGTCTCTTGGGTCTCTTCTCTCCCCTGTGTCCATCGTGTCCCTTGTGTCCCCTGGATCCCCTGTGTGCCTTGGGTCAACTTACGTCCCTTGTAACACATGTGTTCCCGGTGTCCTCTTTGTTCCCTGTGTCCCCTATGTCTCTTGTGTACCCTGTGTTCCTTGTGTCCCATAAGTCCCCTGTGTCCCTCGTGTCCCCTGCGTCCCATGTGTCCCCTTGTGTCCCTTGTGTCTCCTTTGTCCCCTGTGTCCCTTGTGTCTCCACTGTCCCATGCAGCCCTTGTGTCCCATGTGTGCCATGAGTCTCCTGTGTTGCTTTTGTCCCCTTGTGTCCCTTGTATCCCTTGTGTCCCCTGTGTACCCTTGTGTTCCTTTTGTCCCCTTGTGTCCCATGTGCCCTATTGTGTCCGTTGTAATCCCTGTGTTCCCAATGTCCCCTTGTCTCGTTCATGACCCCTTGTGTCCCCTGCTACCTTTCTGTTTCTTTGTGTTCCCCGTGTTCCCTTGTGTCCCTTTTGTACCTTTCTGTCCCCTGTGTTCCTTTGTGTCCTCTAAGTCCCTATAGTCCAGTGTGCCAGTTCTGTCCTCTGTGTCCCTTGTGTCCCCTAGGTCAAGTTTTGTCCCCTGTCCCTTGTGACCCCTGTGTACCTGTTGTCCCCTTGTCTCCCCTGTGTCCTCTTGTGTTGACTGTGTCTCCAGTCTCCCTTGTTTTCAATTGTGTCCCCTGAGTCCCCTGACTCCCTTGTGTTTCCCCGTGTCCCCCGCGTCTCTTGTCTCCTTGTTTCCCCTCTATCCCTTTGTGTCCCCTGTGTTCCCTGTGTCCCCTCTGTCTCCTATGTCCCTTGTGTCCGCTGTGTCCCTTGTGACCCCTGTGTCTCCTTGGGTTCCCTGTGTCCCTTGTGTCTCTTGTCCCCCCCCTGTGTTTGTTGTGTCCCCTTTGTCCCATGTGTCCACTTGTGTCCCCTGTGTCCCTTTGAGTTCCCTGTGTTCCTAGTGTCCCTGGTCTTCAATTATGTCGCCTGTGTCCCCTTGTGTCCCTTGTGACTAGTGTTTCCCTTGTGTCCCCTGTGTCCTCTTGTGTGCCTTGTGTCCCCTGTATCCCTTGTGTCCCGTGTCCCTTGCATCTCCTCTGTCTCTGGGTCCCTTGTGTTCCTTCTGTGCAAGGGGTCTCCTGTGTCCCTTTGTGTCCCTTTTGTCTCCTGTGTCCCTCGTGTCATCTGTGTTCCATGTGTCCCCTTGTGTCCCCTTTGTCTCCTGTCTCCCTTGTGTCCCCTGCGTCCTTTCTGTCCCCTGTGTGCCCAGAGTCTCCTGTGTCCCCATGTGTCTCTTGTATCCCTTGTGTCCCCTTGTGTCCCCAAGGGACCCCTGTGTCCCTTTGGTGTCTTCTCTCGCCTGTGTCTCCTATGTCCATCGTGTCCCCTGGGTCGCCTTTGTTATTTGTGTCCCCTGTGACCCTTGTGTCTTCTGTGTCCCGTGTGTGCCTTGGGTCAACTTATGTTCATTGCGACCCGTGTGTCCCCTGTGTTTCCTGTGTCCCCTATGTCGGTTGTGTCGCTTGTGTCGGCTGCGTCCCTTGTGTCTCCTGTGTCCCATAAGTCTCCCGTGTCCCATAACTCCCCTGTGTCCCTTGTGTCCCATGGAGCCCTTGTGTCCCCTGTGTCCCTTGTGTCCACTGAGTCTCCCGTCTCCCTTGTGTCCCCTAGTATCCCTTGTATCCCTTGTGTACCCTGTGTCCCTTGTGTTGCTTGTGTCTCCTTGTGTCCCTTTTGTACTTTTGTGTCCCCTGTGTCCCTTATGTTCCCTGTGTCCCCTGAGTCCCTAGAGTCCCCTGTGTCACTTGTGTCCCCCGTGTCCCTTGTGACCCCTGCATACCTGGTTTCCCCTTGTGTCCCATGTGTCCCCTTGAGTTGATTGTCTCCTGTCTTCCCCGTCTCCTTTGTTCCTCCTAAGTCCCCTGCCTCCATTTTGTTTCCCTGTGTCCCCTGTGTCTCTTGTCTCCCCTATGTCCCTGTGACCTCTGTGTCCCTTGTGCCCCTGTGTCTCCTATGTCCTTTGTGTCTGCTGTGTCCCTTGAGTCTCCTATGTAACTTGTGACTCCTGTATCTCCTTGGGTGCCCTGTGTCCCTTTTGTCTATTGTGTCCCCTGTGTCCGTTGTGTCCCCTTTGTCTCACGTGTCCCCTGTGGCCTCTGTGTCCCTGGTCTTCAATTAGGTCCCTGTTTCCCTTTGTGCCCCCTGTGTCCCTTATGTCCACTTGTGTCCCTTGTGTCCCATGTTTCCTCTTGTGTGCTTTGTGTCCCCTGTGTCTTTTGTGTCTCCTTGTGTCCGTTGTTACCCCTTTGTCACCTGTGTCCCTTGTGTCCCCTGTGTTATCAGTGTCCCCTATGTCCCTTCTGCCTGTTTTGTCCCCTGTGTCCCTTGTGTCCCCTTGTTTTCCATATGTTCCTCGTATCCCTTTGTGGCCCCTTGTCCTCTGTGCCCCTTTTGTCCCCATTGTCCCTTGTTTCCTCTTATGTCTCCAGTGTCCTTTGTTTTCCTTTGTGTCCCTTGTTTTCGTCTGTATCCCTTGTGTCCCTTGGAAGTTCCTTTGCCCCTTGTGTCCCCTGTGTCCCTTTGCGTCCACTGAGTGGGCTATGTCCCTTGTCTTCAATTTTGTCCCCTCTTTCTCCTGTGTCCCTTTTACCCCCTGTGTCCTTTGGGTCCCTGGAATCCCCTGTGTCCGTTGTGTCTTCTTGTGTCCCTTTTGTCCCTTTCTTCCCCTTGTCACCAATGTGTCCCCTTGTGACCCCTGTGTCTCTTGTGTTTCCTGTGTCCCTGGGGTCCCCTGTGTCTACTGTATCCATCGTGTCTTCTGTCCCCTTGTGTCCCTTTTGTCCCTTGTGTCCTATGTGCCCCATTGTGTCCTCTTTGTCCCTTCTGTCCACACGTGTCCACTGTATCCCTTGCTTCCCCTGTGTCTCCTTAAGTTCCCTGTGTGCCCTGTGTCCCTTGTGTCTCTTGTGTTTTCCTTTGTCCCTTGTGTCCCATGTATCCCGTGTGCTTCTTGTATCCCCTCGGATCCATTGTGCCCTCTGTGTCCCTAGTGTCTTTTGGGTTCCCTGTGTCCTCTGCGTACCTTGTGTCCTTTTTGTGTCTCTTGTGTCCCTTGTTCTGCTTTTGTCTTTTGTGTCTCCTTGTGTGCCTTTGTGCCCCTTGTGTCCCTTGAGTCGATTGTGTGCCCTGTGTCTCCTGTATCCATTTTGTCCTCTGTGTCCCATTGTGTCCCTTTTGTCCCCTTGTGTCCTATGTGTCCCATTTTTCCCTTGTGTCCCCTTTGTTCCTTTTGTACCCTCGTGTCCCTTGTCACCCCTGTGTCCGCTGTGTCTCTTGCTTCCCCTGTGTCTCCTAAAGTTTCCTGTGTCCACTGTGTTTCTTGTGTCTTTTGTATTTTCCTTTGTCCCTTGTGTCACCTGTGTCTTATTTATCCCGTGTGTCTCTTGTGTCCCTTGTGTCCCTGTGGATCCCTTGTGACCTCTCTATCCCTTATGCCCCTTGTGTCCCATGTGTCCTATTGTGTCCCCTTGTGTCCCTTGTGTTTCCTGTGTCCCGTGGGTCCCTTGTGTCCCCTGTGTCTCCTGTAGCCATTGTGTCCTCTGTGTGCCTTTTGTCTCCTTGTGTCCCTGGTGTCCGATGTCTCCCATTGTCCCTTGTGTGCCCTTTGTCCCCTGTGTCCGCTGTGTCCCTTGCTTCTCCTGCGTCTCCTTAAGTTCCCTGTGTCCCCTGTGTCTCTTGTGTTTTTGTGGTCCTCTGTGTCCCCTTGGGTCCTTTGTGACCTCTGTGTCCCTTGTGCCCCTGTGTCCCTTTGAGTCTCCTCTGTCTCCTGTTTGCCTTGTGTCCCCGGCGTCCTTTGTGTCACCTTGTTTGCCCTCTGTCCCCTTGGTACTATTGTGTCCCCTCTGAACCTTTGTGCCCCTTGTCCTTCGTGCCCCTTTATGTGCTCCTATGTCCCCTGTCTCCTGTTGAAATATAACATAGGTGGCTCCTTTTACAAAATAATTTCCAGCATGTATTCAAGTTCAATATGTTGTGTGAAAGGCAATTATACTCGATCAGAATTTTTCAACTATGATAAAGGTGTACGACAAGGCTGTATTCTGTCGCCGCTTCTATTTAACCTTTATCTAAACGAACTACCCTTCATTCTAAATAACAATGCTAAAGATTCTATCTTACTACCAGATGGTTCTCACTTAAACTGTCTACTTTATGCCGATGATTTACTTTTAATATCTACCTCGGCAGACGGTTTGCAACAAAGTCTTGACAGACTATCAAAATATCGTCCGGATTGGCTTCTTGAGATTAATCCAACTAAAACCAAAGTTATTGTATTTCAGAAAAAAAGTAGAAAATCAGCAATAGATAAACACAATTTTATGGGTAGCAATGAAAACATTGAAATCGTCAATAACTATACTTATCTTGGAGTGAAATTTTCTGCCAATGGAAATTTTACAAATCACAAGGAAAACTTAACAGAAAAAACAAAGAGATCCTTTTTTGCCGCTCGTCGTTATCTAGATTTTCTAAAATTACCAATTCACATCATCAAAAAACTGTTCAATACACTATTTTTCCCAATTTTAACGTATTGCTCTGAAGTTTGGGGAGTCTATGATAAAAGTGATTATAGCCGCTGGGATAAAGACTCGATTGGGAAAACGCATATACATTTTTGTAAGATGTGTTTAGGTTTAAACAAACGTTCACCGAATGTTGCATCCAGAAATGAACTTGGTAGATTATCTCTAAATTTACAAATAACAATGAACATTTTCAAATTTTGGATTCACCTTGAAAATCAACCCCCTGACAGCATCGCTAAACTCTGCTTAAACATATCGGATAAACTGGCCGAAGAAAATAAATCTGGTCTAATAAATAAAATAAATCTTTTGAGTACACAACTTAATATTCATAAACAGTCAGTTAAATTTAAAAACCCTTCTACTTTCCTATCCAAAGCTGAGAATAATTTGTCAAAACATCTGAAAAACCACCAGCTAAATTTGATAAGAACAAATAAAAAACCAAAATTCTACTCCATCTTTAAAAATGAAACAAATCACTCTGAATTCATCAATCATATCCGGAATCCTGAACTTAGGCGTGTAGCTTCCAAATTTAGGATAGGAAATCATAATTTAAAAATAGAAACTGGAAGATTTACAATCCCCAAAACTCCTGAAGACCTTAGAATCTGTGATCATTGCAACCAAAATTCAGTTGAAAATGAACTGCACATTTTATTTCACTGTGATCAATACAATGATTTGAGAAAGACTCTTTTTATTAAAATCAACGACCGAAATACATTATTTACACATTACAATATCCATGATAAAGTCTGTTTTCTTTTTAACAATATTGATTCACATATCAGCAGGCTAGCTGCTAATTTCATCTTTCAAGCATTTGAAAGACGAAAGAAACATAGTTAATTCTACCGTTCCATCATATCTGCATTTCCTTAAACTTAGCTGTTTATTATTATTATTTTAATCGGTAACACCTGTACAAAATGGTAATACTGAATAAACTTGTTGTTGTTGTTGTTGTGTCCTTTGTTTTCCTTTGTCTCTTGTGTCCCCTGTGTCCCTTGTTTTTCTTTGTATCCCTTGTGTCCCCCATATACCTTGTGTCTCTTGGAAGCCCCTGTCTCCCTTGTGTTCCCTTGTATCCCTTGTGTCCCATTGGTCTCCTTGTGCCCTTTGTGTCCCTAGTGTCCCGTGTCCCCTTAAAGTAAAGTAAAGTAAAACTTTATTTACACAGGGTAGCCTGTTCAGCTCTAAGGCTGGTCCCCATAGGGGCGCTGTATCTTAAAAAATTTAGTTACAGTCCCCTTGTTACCTGTGTCCCCATGAGTCCCCTGTGTCCCTTGTGACTTTAGTCTCACTTGTGTTCCCGGTGTCCCTTTGAGTCCCCTGTGTTGCTTGTTTCCCTTGTGTTCCCCGTGTTCCCTTCTGTCCGTTGTGTCCCTCATGTCCCCCGTTTTCCTTTTTTTCCTTGTCCCTTGTGTTCCCTTTGTGTTTCCTGTGTCCCTTGTGTCTTCTTATGTTCTGTTTTTTGTGTCCCGTGTCCCCCTTTTTCGTTTAAAAAACATGAAGTATTCCGTGGCGTTGCCTTTGTTTCTTATCTGGCGCGAAAACTTGGGGGTTCCATTGCTTCACGTGACAACATGTGGGGTTTTTTTGCACGCTCAGGATGTCAAAGAATGTGATTTTTTATGAAAATAAAAAACAACACACAAAGTTCTGCTTTAATTGTTTAAAAGTTTTTTATTTGATTAATCAACTAACGGTTCACTGATTTATTTATTTGAACCATTACAAACACAGCAATGATTCTTGTCCATATACAAACATATAAATCGCTCCTTCATAAAATGATTAGTCCTGATCACGAATGCGCACTCGTACTTTCATAAGATAAAAAATAAGCGCCCATTTATCTTTATAAAAACCCTGCAATCTTCCTTTGAACTTATATTTATTGTTCGATGGTCCATGCAGTCTTAATTCTATCCATAAATGTTTCAATCCAACCTCAATGCACTTAATAGAATTCAATTTCAATATTAACATGAAAACCAAGCGCATACCGGCATTTCTTATATATAAATTGCAATCCCCATTAAGACCCTGTTTACATGGAGTGGGGGACCCCGGTCTAGTGGGGTAGGTTTTTTTGTTTTGTGTCCCTCAGAGCGTGAAAACAAAAGAAACCAACCCCACTAGACCGGGGTCCCCCACTCCATGTAAACATGCCCTTATACACTTAACCTAGTTTCGCAATAAGTTAATTGTTACATAATTATATGCACTTTCTTACTTCTTACATTAGCATTGCAATACCCTCATAGTAAGTTAATTACCAGATTAATCAAATGCGCGCACTATTAAATTTTGCCTACAATACCCAGAAAGACACACACAAGAATAAATACACGGGCTTGTAGGTCAGCAAGGGCCTCAAAGCCAGTTTATTGCAAAACGTCCCTAAGATTACAAAACTGCACTAAAGTACAAAACACCCTATAAGGAAACACGAATCTCAAAGAAAAAAAAGTACGACACCGCCGGATACGAAAACCCAAAACCACTTTGTGGAAAAAAGGGAACGTACACCCCCACCTGCTGAAATCAGCTGCGGTGCCGACAACTCGGGGGCAGAGGTACGCAAAATCTAGCTGCCAAAAGCCTATAAACAAATATAACAACAATTGGCAAATAAAATGAAAGTTAGGACCTCGAATGAATGCTGAACTGGACTGATTCAAATTGCAACGTACAACTAAATATATCTAAAAAAGCTACCCACAATTCCTTCTACCGGCCTAGTCCTCTGGTCGCAGTGCCGGCAAAATAGCTATTTCTCTCTCCTCTAAATCTCAGTTTGTTCCAACAAGAAAACACACAAACCTTGGGTGCGGCTTGCTTCAAGCCAAGCGCTCGGTTTATTCACGAAAAAACTAAGATACATGACATATCATAGAAACGTAATATACAATCCAAGTAACATACAGCTCCAAAGAACTAGATCACAAGCTAATTGAAATGGGGTCGTGGAACAACAGCTGGGTGAAAAACCTCCCCGTACGTCCACTTGCACCTAGGAGGAAAACCCCAGGCCAGCTGCACCCCATAAAAACGGTCCCCGGGCAAGACCAACTAAATAGAAACTAGAATCAATTAAAAACGGTACGAACGAGAAAATTAAATACCTAAAGCCTTAGAAACCGACAAACGAGAAGATAAAGAATCTTGGACGTACCCGTCCTTAGCTGATTCACTAGCCCAGCGGC